GTGGGAGCAACGATTCGGGTTGGGTATCCATCACAAAGAAGGATGTACAATCCTCTCCTGTCCAGAATTCTTGTACAAAAAGGACGGGGAAATTGGAGGCAGCAAGGAGGAAATTGAGGGATGTATTTTCTTCTGCATTATAAGTGATTAAAGGATGGGGAAGAAAAAGAAGACTAATCAATGGGAGAAATGGAGAACTTGCTTCTGTGTATTTGAGAATTTGAGGAGAGAGATTACGGAGATGACAAAAGAAAAAAAAAAGAAAAAGAAAAAAAAAAAGTGAAAATATAAAAACAGAGAGAAAGAGGATGGAGAAAAAGAGGGAATGCATGTGAATGGACAAGTTTGCCCCTATCAAACTCACGTGATTCGCACATGCCTAGTATTCCGGCGGAAATCACCGGAATATACCGTTTTAAGGGCAACGTGCAACAAAAGCACGAGTTTAGGTAAAAACGTGCAAAAAAAAATTGTTTGGGGGGCAAAGTGCAAAACGGACATTAGTTTAGGAGGCAAACTGCTTTTTACTCTATATATATATATATATATATATATATATATATATATATATATATAATAATAGCCTTAGCCTTAGTCTTTGCCTTTGCCTTCGCCGGCCGCCGGGTGGCGGGCGTCGGGTGCGGTGCGAAAAACGTCAGGGGCGACAAGTTATGGCAAGGCAGCCCCGCACACCGGCCCAGCAGGTGCCGAACGTCCGAAAATTTTCCGACCCGAAAAAAATAATAAAAAATAAGAGCGCCTAGGAAATTGAATTTGGCACAGTGGTTGTCGGGGCCATTTGGTCAGATTCCAAGAATTGCTCCGAAAACGTCGGGAGCGACTAGTTTGGGCAAGGCTGCCCCGCACACCGGCCCAGCCTTGGCTGCACACCGGCTGGGCTGGTGCCGAAAGTCCGAAAATTTTCCGACCCGAAAAAAATAATAAAAAATACGAGGACGTAGGAAATTGAATTTGGCACAGTGGTTGTCGGGGCCGTTTTCTCAGATTTCGAGAATTGCTCCGAAAACGTCGGGAGCGACTAGTTTTTGGCAAGGTTGCTAGCACCTTGGGCAGAGTTGCTAGCACCTTGGCTGTGCCGGTTCCGAAAGTCCGAAAATTTTCCGACCCGAAAAAAATAATAAAAAATACGAGGACGTAGGAAATTGAATTTGGCACGGTGGTTGTCGGGGCCGTTTTCTCAGATTTCGAGAATTGCTCCGAAAACGTCGGGAGCGACTAGTTTTTGGCAAGGTTGCTAGCACCTTGGGCAGAGTTGCTAGCACCTTGGCTGGGCCGGTGCCGAAAGTCCGAAAATTTTCCGACCCAAAAAAAATAATAAAAAATACGAGGACGTAGGAAATTGAATTTGGTACGGTGGTTGTCAGGGCCGTTTTCTCAGATTTCGAGAATTGCTCCAAAAACATCGGGAGGGACTAGTTTTTGGCAAGGTTGCTAGCACGTTGGGCAGAGTTGCTAGCACCTTGGCTGGGCCGGTGCCGAAAGTCCGAAAATTTTCCGACCCGAAAAAAATAATAAAAAATACGAGGACGTAGGAAATTGAATTTGGCACGGTGGATGTCGGGGCCCTTTTCTCAGATTTCGAGATTTGCTCCGAAAACGTCGGGAGCGACTAGTTTTTGGCAAGGTTGCTAGCACCTTGGACAGAGTTGCTAGCACCTTGGCTGGGCCGGTGCCGAAAGTCCGAAAATTTTCCGACCCGAAAAAAATAATAAAAACTACGAGGACGTAGGAAATTGAATTTGGCACAGTGGTTGTCGGGGCTGTTTTCTCAGATTTCGAGAATTGCTCCAAAAACGTCGGGAGCGACTAGTTTTAGGCAAGGTTGCTAGCACCTTGGGCAGAGTTGCTAGCACCATGGCTGGGCCGGTGCCGAATGTCCGAAAATTTTCTGACCCGAAAAAAATAATAAAAAATACGACGACGTAGGAAATTGAATTTGGCACGGTGGTTGTCGGGGCCTTTTTCTCAGATTTCGAGAATTGCTCCGAAAACGTCGGGAGCGACTAGTTTTTGGCAAGGTTGCTAGCACCTTGGGCAGAGTTGCTAGCACCTTGGCTGGACTGGTGCCGAAAGTCCGAAAATTTTCCGACCCGAAAAAAATAATAAAAAATACAAGGGCGTAGGAAATTGAATTTGGCACGGTGGTTGTCGGGGCCGTTTTCTCAGATTTCGAGAATTGCTCCGAAAACGTCGGGAGCGACTAGTTTTTGGCAAGGTTGCTAGCACCTAGGGCAGAGTTGCTAGCACCTTGGCTGGGCCGGTGCCGAAAGTCCGAAAATTTTTCGACCCGAAAAAATACTAAAAAATACGAGGACGTAGGAAATTGAATTTGGCATGGTGGTTGTCGGGGCCGTTTTCTCAGATTTCGAGAATTGCTCCGAAAACGTCTGGAGCTACTAGTTTTTGGCAAGGTTGCTAGCACCTAGGGCAGAGTTGCTAGCACCTTGGCTGGGCCGGTGCCGAAAGTCCGAAAATTTTC